TAAAGTTGAGTCACATTGCAGAAATATTACCAATATACCTGTGATATGTTAGTATTGACTGTATTTAGACAGTAATACAAGACACCTGCTGGTATGCAGGGCCTTTAATTCTTGAAAATGCGTAATGTGATCTGCTTCTTTGTACCATAATATTATTTAATTCTTCTTTTTTTCTTATTTTTCTTATATCTATCTATATCTATAGATAGATATATAGATATAGATATATGGTGGGACAATAATGAACGTTAGTGACATTTAAGATGGCCAAATATTGAGTTGAGTTTATATACAAGTAACTCCTGTGAGCAAAAAGTCAGATGTTATGCTGCTCTAAACACCAGGCTTGGAAAGGTTTTTTTCTACTCCTGACTCTGTGTAATTTCATAGACGGCAGATATCATTTATATGGTCATCTACAGTGCAGCACTCTGGCAGCCAGTCAGATCAAAGTTGGCCTAAAGAGAATGTGGTTTTTAAGGTAAAGAAGCTAAAACAATGTGTTTTAATCAGTAAATGAACTAAAGTGCTGCACAAAAAGCTTCTTTTTTTTTTTTGAGAGTTAAAGTATAACAATATAAAGCTGGAGGTTAGTGTGACAATTCTCCTTTGTGAATAACAATAAATAATCTTGAATTGGGAATCACAGTTTGTTTAAAAATCTGCAAGAAATCAAAATACGTGATGTGTTGCTGCTCTGCAGGTATCGCGATTACCGCTATCCTCCTGACGATAAGAAGAGGTACGAACACAACATGCAGTTCTGGCATATTTTGGCTGCCAAGCTGGCTTTCATCATCATCATGGAGGTAACACCAGCACTTAATGACCTTTTAAGCTTCACATTTTTAAGCTTCTTCTTGACCTGGTCTTATTTCACTGATTGTGTCCTCTTCCTCTGCAGCATGTTGTGTTTATGGTCAAGTTCTTTGTGGCCTGGATGATTCCTGATGTTCCATCTGACGTGAGGGCTCGAGTAAAGAGAGAGCGCTACCTGGTCCAGGAGTACCTCCACAACTATGAAGTGGAGAAATTGAAGATCCAGCTCAGCCAGAACAGCAACAGTGACTGCACCTGCACACCCATGATCTACCCATCTTTATCCAAACATGAGGTGCTATCAGAGTGCCTCTAGCCCAGCAAGCTGCTGGTCAGTCAGTCGAACACAGTGACATAGATTTCCCTGCTTGTGTTTTCTGATACTGACCACCAGTTTGCTGCAATGCCATGACACTTGCTAAAGTGCTAGACCTCTTGTTCTTTACTCACAGCCATCCCTCTTCTGCTAATCAAGCAATAGCAGAAGATCACACAGGTGAAAGACCAAGTCTCCATGCATGCTGAAAGTTTGAGACACTTGACTTTAAACGTCTGTCGCATATTTATGATTTCTCACTCTCTGTGTTCTAATTGTGGTGTTGAGGATGATCACAAATTTGGTTTAAGGAAAGACAAAATCTTATACACTGTGTGTCAACCAGAGAGCTTTCTTATGTTCTAAATACAAGCCTATTTATTGTTAAGTGCCACTATGAGTAACCAAAGATTCGATGCCTTAATGTGTAAAGCATATGTTGTCATTGGTGTGTCAGTCAAATGATAACTAATGTAGTTTTAAGGCAGAGTTTGCTTATTCTTGAATATTTTTTACTGTATGTGCAGCTTTGTAGAGCCACACAATAGAAATTCACGTTCAGCTCTATTGTTTGTTTGTTTCTGTTTTTACTGTGAGCATTGTTTATTTCTCTGCATCAAGGTCGCAGCACAACTTTAACAAAACCTTTCCTGTTCTTCACGCCACTGGCAGTTAGGAGGCCCAGGCACATTTTTTGCTATATGCTCACATTGGCCTCGACAGTTTCTGCAGGCCCAAACCTGACATGTGAAGTAGCTACTTTGTTTTTTTTTCTTTAAATGAACGGAACTCTGTGCTGCTGTTAACGCTGTGGCGATGGACAGATTTTGTCCTGCAGTGGCCAGTTTTTCAGCCACAGAAGCAGCAGCTGGTGCATGTTGAATGTTGACAGTCCGCCCCATTCTTGGAGATGGGAGTGAAGAGATCCCTTTTTAATGTGCCTATGTTTACCAACACAGAGCTAATGAAAGCCGGGCCTCACCTACTGAACTATGTTTGCTCCATTACACAAAGCACATCAGCCATCACCGCCTTCTTGTGCTTCTGGCTTCCTCAGCAGTGTCTTTGTAGAGAAGGAAAGACACACATTTTGTTTTTTGGTTGTTTTTTTGTTGTTGTTGCACAAAGCACTTAATGAAACATGACTACCGAGATATAAACATGTAAATGTAATTCTTGTCATGACACTACAGATTCATGAGCAGTGTTTTGAAGTGTGTGCGAGTAACTGTTCCTTTAAATGGAACAGGAGTCGTGCTGTAGGTAAGGAGTTCAATGTTCTTTTAAATGTTAACAAGAAGATTAGAGATGATATGAAGGACATTTCACATTATGTGGTTATATAGAGACATGAGAAATATCTGTTTCTGAAGTATTTGAATTTAAGTAGCTGACTGGTTGTGCTGTAGACTCTGTTTGAGGTGTATTTACCTGTGACCACCTTACTGTTACATTTTGCCTTACTTATTATGTCTTCCTAGTTGAACCAGTGCCTGTTAATGCCTTAATGCATCTAGTACTTTCCCTTTTGTGTGTAATTCCCCTTTATTTATCTTTCATGCTCACTTTCTTCCCTCCTGTATTTCATTTGTTTTGCTATAATAGGTCAAATGTCCACGCTTACAGAAAAAGGTGAAGGAGTTTACTGTTTCCTTATAGTTTAAATTTGTTTTTTCTATTTTCTTATGTTATTTTTGTAAACCAGTCCTATATCCAAAATGTGTAATGTACCAAAAAAATAAAGAAAGTACTAATTAAACTTGAGCATTTGTTTGACACGTTTGGACCGATGCTGCCGACCAGCAGCTCTTGTGCCGAGGACATCAAAGTTGCTTTTCACAGAACAGATGGCCGGAGAGAGAGCACTGATAACTATTCAGTGTTTGCTCACACTGGTGGGTGTGTTTTACACCAAAATATGTTGGCAGGGTTGTTTCACTTGGCACTGTGCAGATCCTACAGTAACAAAGACATGGGGAACAGTCCGGTTCAGGTAGGTTGTAAAGACTCAATGTGATTTTAAATGTGTATCAATTAAAGATGAAACTGTGAATCAACTGAAATATTTTTCAGCTCTGTGATTAGGGCTTATATGACTATCATGTTGTTCGATGAGGATGAATACTTCTAGTGTAGCCTAGATTCTGTATATGAGCCCAGTAAACAAATCGGATTGATAGTTTAGATGATGATGTATTTAAATGCCAATGAGCTGGACACTGTGCTTGTGGTCATCCAGACTCCAGAGGAAGACCTTTGTGATCTGGACACCCATCATGGTTTAACTGTGGTCGAGCTCTACATTATGCCCGCCTCCTTCCTGACTGTGCTTATCCTCGGGCTTCCCCTCAACCTGCTCTCCCTGTGGGTTTTCACCGTGCGGCTGCAGCGATGGACCCGCAGCACGGTGTTCCTCTTCAACCTGACCTTAGCTGACACCTCCTGGCTCCTGGCCTTGCCTTTCCTCATCCATTACCATCTGAACCACATGTACTGGAACCAGGGGCTGCCGCTCTGCATTGCTGTGAGGATGTTTTACCACAACTACTTCTACCTCAGCATCTTCTTCGTCACCTGCATCAGTGTGGACCGATACCTGGCCATCGTACACCCACTGCGCTCTCTAGTGCTGCTCGATCGGCGGAAGGCCTGTCTGCTGTGCGCGGCCGTGTGGACGGCCACGCTGCTCCTAAGCATACCTGTTGCCCGGATGACTCTGATCCAGACTTGCCCCGGAAGCAACCGCACCGTGTGCACCCTGTACGTACTGCTACGTGAAACAGGGGAGAGCCTCCCTTATTCCCTCATATGCTCCATTATCGGCTTCCTCTTCCCGCTGCTCGCCATCTGCTACTGCGGCCTGCGCAGCATCAGAGAGCTTCGCCGTCGACCTCTCCACCCCGATCACCTCAACAAGAAACTGCGGCTCATGCGGCTGCTGGGCGCAGTGCTAGTCATATTTTCGTCGTTTTACCTGCCCTATCACCTGAGCCGCAACGCTGCCGTCGTGATACGGGCGATCTACCCCGACAGCCCCGCCTCCTGGCGACCCGCAGACACGGCCTTCGTCCTGGAGATGTGTATTTGCGGCCTCATTACCTGCGTTAACCCCTTGTTCAGCTGCCTTACAGGACGCCAGTTTAGGAATGAGTTTTACGGCACGATTGCTGCCATGTTTCCACGTTGTCCACGCATGCAGGCAACATCTAAAGGGACCCAGATGAACCTTAGGAAAAGGCAGGAGGTTTCCAGTGTTGCACCTGTGCGCGCACTGCCTGCACCTAGACCTTAATGAGGAATTTGATTAAATGTTTTTCTTTTTTTGTGTAAATGTGTCAGAGATCACAAACCGCTGTGAGCCCTCCCCTCCCCTCCCTTTCTTAAGTGGCAATATCGGATACATACACTGCAAAGAACAATGGTTTCTGGTCTCCTTTATCTTGTCTGTTATCTGTGAAGGTTGCTCTGCTTCTTACACAACACTGCCTCTGCGTGGTTGACTGCGTGCTGTACTTTCTTCTGGTTCTGCGTGCGTGAATAGCAAATCTTTTAAATAAACAAATGAATTCAAATACAAATAGTGAGCTGATATCTTTGTTGGATTTTAGCAAAAGCAAGGCTTTCAGCATGTTTTGTTTTGTTTTTCACAAACTATCTCAGCCTCAGATTTAAGCCGACGAAGACCAGCCCAGTGCTCGAGAGCTTGCCCTTTTATAAGTTGTCTGGAATCATCTTGAAACTATCTTCTCCTGAATTAGAAAATAGGGAAGGGTGGGGAACGATTATGCAGTTGACAGCCGTAGCTGTTAACAGATCTGAAGTTGTAATTGAATTAGAGGAGACGAGCGGTGGGAGCGGAGGGAGGAGGGGCATTGCGCGGAGCTGCTGACAGGTAGATGAGCTGTGCGCTGTCCGCGGTGCTGAAACCTCCTCCAGCTGCACCCACACCGGAGATTCCCCCACCTCAGGTTAGACCTGAGCTCCGATCATCTCCGCCGGCTCAAGCTCTCCACAATCCCACCTCAGTTTCTCAAATAATAGAACAATAAAAAAGGAGGAGAAAAAAATCCAAGTTGTGATCTTCGGTGGTGCCTTTTTCTTATCGCGGGCTGGATCTTAAGATGGCACTGCACGGATTAACATTGCGCAAGGCAAAAGCGGACTTATTTGACTGCTGTTTTGTGACTGTGAAAGCAACCCTTTCAGACTGAACGCCTCTCTCGTCTTTCTCCATTTTTTTTTCTGGCGCATCTATTTTATTTTTTAGTTTGTTTCTACTGGACACATGCTTTTCGCTGAAGAGAAATAGGCGCCTTATTTCTGGATTAATATCTTAACAATATGCTTTTTAATGCTGCACTTATATTTGTTATAGTATTGTAGAAATTGTTTTCAGAAGATAATTTGGATATGGAGCCAGGAAAGGAGAAAGCTCTCCCCACCAGTAAAGAGGGGATGAAACAAATGGCAGGAAAGGCCCTCGGGGCTCTGTACAGGTAAGAAATTGTACATCTCTTTTAATCGCAGAATTAGTTTTGGAAGGATCAATTAAAATAGAAAATACGTCCAAATGATTAGATGACACAGACAAAGAAAACGTGCACTGGCTTTGAATGTGCTTATTACTGAATTACAATTATTACTTTTTTTTTTTAAAGAAAAAAGGTAAATCTCATCTTTATGAGGTGAATCACGAACAGGGTGCTGAGAGCAGAGTCGTGTGGCCCGAATATTTAAGGATCAGATATTTCCCTGGAGGACGGTCCCCCTCCACCAGCAGCTGTGGGTGTTTTTTTAATAATTAATGAAACAGAACGAGTCGTGACACAAGGTCGGAGGATATCTATTACCTCACGTATTCATCTGTATTACTTCAAGATAGATGAACTTCATATCAACTGACTTCCTATATTCTTTAACGGCCACGAAGAGCTGCATGAAACGTGGCTCGGGTGAAACTGATGGCTGACTACAAAGGAAACAGCACCCGTTTAGATTTGGAGCAGGGAAGCAGGATGTGGTGGAATAGAAGCGAATTATTATTTATTTATTTTTTCTTTTTAATTCTCATTGGGAATGCACATAAATTATATTATGGCAGCAAAAACAAATCTTCGACAAGTATTCCAAAAGAAATACGAAGGTTTTAATCTGAGTCTGCATATGTTTGGAACTCTTTTGAGCCTTATTCGTTTATTTGCTGAACCAGAAATGATTTTTAGAAGCTGTAGCACAGAAAAAAAAACGTGACTCAAATCTGTTTGATTTAAGCTGTAGCTAGGCCAGTCATTTCACCGGATGAGGCCTTCGCATGTCAGGGTTTTTAAATCCACCTTACATTTCGGTGAAAATTCCCGAATTGGAGCCAAAGCGAAATCCCTACACCGGATTTATGGCAGCTAATTAAATATTTAATAAAAAACATATATAGGGCGAAATTTAACTGCAAACAGCGCTGATGCAGATGATACTGCAATGCGGTATGAAGGTCATCTTTTTCTCCTCGATTCCATTCATCCTTTCCTTTCAACAAGTCAAGAAAAAATTATAACAGGATATTTCCCCCCTCATGAAGAGTGTGCAGGCGTTTGGAGGCCTGTGTCAGATTAAAGAATAAATTAGAGCCACTGACAGGGCCTGGAGTTGAAATGAAATTCTCATTCATAAACGCGAAGAAGCAGTGTTGGGTATTTCCAGGGGAATTATTTCTGCTGATCTGGCTTAAAAATCCATAAAAAAAAAAAAATATATATATATATATATATATTTTAAAAAAATACTGTTTTCTTTCTTTAAACACAGTATCTGGCTGGTACTTTGTTATCATCCCTTCACGCCGGCTTTGAACATATGAATCACCTAAAAAAATGAGTATTATATAATCGAAATGCAGGAGACTCGAAAAGCGGCAGCAAACAGGTGAAGCGATCGAGCTGACGGAGGATGGGAGACCGCGAGCGGACGAGGAGCGGAAGACGCCCCTGTGTGACTGCACGTGCTTCGGGCTGCCGCGCAGATACATCATCGCTATGCTGAGCGGGCTCGGCTTCTGCATCTCCTTCGGTATCCGGTGTAACTTGGGTGTGGCCATCGTCAGCATGGTCAATAACAGCACAATCCACCAAAACGGGAAGATAATCATCAAAGAGGTGCCTGTAAACCCCGCCTCTTCATTCATCATGAACCCCATCCTGCACCCCACCCTACCCCACCCTCTTATGTGTGATAGGTGGTGAGATAGAACTGAGTCTGTTGTCCCTTTCAAGTGCCTTTCATGTGTTAAACAGAGTAATTAGCAAAATGAGTATAGTTTGCGCTTTTTTGTTGTAAATTTATTGGAAATTGTGATTTTAAAAAAAAATCATTTTAGATAATCACAGAGGTCAATTTCACTGCGAAGCATTACATTTTATATACACCTTTCTGCAAATATTTCTCTCCTGTAACACTTACCACTTAGGGAAAAAAACGAAAAAGTGATCTCACTGCGATACACACTACAGCGAATTAAAAGAGACGTAATTTTGTTTTTATTTTTATGTGCCTGAAAGAAAGCGAAATTCAACTGGGACCCGGAGACTGTGGGGATGATTCACGGTTCCTTCTTCTGGGGCTACATAGTTACTCAGATTCCAGGAGGGTACATCTCCTCCAGGCTGGCTGCAAACAGGTAAAACTATACACATTTTTTGAGTTAGGTCTTTGAGGAGATTATATTTAGGAAATATCGGTTTCCTACTGATTTCCCATTGTATCTACGAACAAAAAATGTATAATTTAGTGTGCAGACTTGTTGGCAAACCAGTAGGTTTGGAGAAACCTGCAGATAAACTGGGGATTTGGCTGATGCCCGCCAGGCGTGCCTCCTCATGTTAATGAGCTCCCACGGGACCACCGTGTCTAATCCTTTATGTTCAGAGGCATGGCAACCACACCGGCCAAAGCCATGTGTGCGAAGTGCTTCTAAGCAAAGATTGTAGCGTGATTTCAACCACCGCGTCCCACTTCTATACCTTATTATTTCATTAGCAGCTGACTGGAAATATAGATAAATATACAAAACGATCATTCTTTAAAAAAAAAAAACGGTTAAACTATCGATCAATATTAGAGCGCAGTGTAGACAGATACTGCAGAAAGAAGGAGATGCAAGGAAAAATAAAGTGCGCTAAGCTCGCAGCATGGGTCCTTATTACATTAACATTACAGGATTGTTAAAACTGAATCTAAATGAATCTTTGAAGAGCTTCATCATACCAAGTCAGCTGAGCCCTCTGACGCCTTCTGCTGCAAACACCTCCTGTCCTCACTCCCCTGGAAACCGAATAACAGCCTGTTGTGTGCGCGCTTTTGTGTGTGGCACCCAATTAGGACTGGTTTGTCTTGATTATGAGTGTTTATTCTTCCACTATATTATAAAAATTTTAAATATAGGATTCAGTCTACTGTTTACTGATATTTGCAGTTGATCAAAAAGATGCAGACCCCACTTTTCTTTTCCTTGAGCCACATACAGATTTCATTTTGATACAAATTTGACAAATAATCTTGTAATGCTGTTTATCCAGAGTTTTTGGTGCTGCCATCGTGCTGACATCTACCCTGAACATGTTCATTCCCTCTGCCGCCCGGGTCCACTACGGATGTGTCATCTTTGTGAGGATATTACAAGGGTTGGTGGAGGTACTGATGCACAATTTGGTTTTGACCTTTAAAACACTCAAGGATGATGCCTCATTATCAAACCAGGAGCTGAGTTTGACCCCTTCCTAATGAAATTGTCCTGACATTCTGTTTTCAGCCAGGTTTTACAGCAATCTTCTGTTTCTATTCAAGCCTGCTGCTCTCTATTTGGATTTCTGCTCAAAAAAAAGGAAGCTCTATTCATTATACTGTACACATATTAGTACACAATCGTCAAACAAAGTAAAACCCTGAATAGCAGGGCTTATGTGTACTGGCTTGCCTGGCTTAGAGAGCTCCATGTTCACATAGAAACACAATGAACAAAAGAGATAAAAACCACTTGATGCGGGCGGCTCCCGCAGCTCAAGAAGGGGAATGATTTCAGAGGGAGAGACGCTATTATTAGTTTGAAGGTCATCTTCTTTTGTTGTTTTGTTTAGCTCCAAACTGTAGTTTCAGTTGCTGCTCATGACCATTCAGAGAGGGAGCTGCCTGCGTTCAGCGCCATGGCTTATTACTACAAATTAAACATTAGCATTTCAGGGTGTCTCCCACTGCAAGCCTCAGCAATTTGTGTCTATCAATAGTTGATTGTATGCCACTTAGTGTGTAATGAAGATTTAATGGGAACAATCCAGGGCTTCTTTTTTTTTTTTTCATGAAGTGGGCAGTCAGCTTGAATTTGCACTGACTCACACCTAAGCCATTAGTCTCTATTAGAAAGATCAGCTACAATGCATGTCAGTTTGTTTGTTATTAACTGCAATTTGACTTGTAAGTCTCTGGCAAAAAAGAAGAGACGGCGTCAATCAAGCAGAATATATTTTCATTAATTGTGAAAACAGCTACAGTTTTGATGAAATTAGCAAATTAAGCATGTTGTGCTTTTACGCTGTCAAAACAAGTATGTTAAAGCTGGTGGGAAACAATCGCTGTCTGATCTTACTGTTGCTGTAATGTTGTGTTTTTCATTCACCATACAGGGAGTGACTTACCCGGCCTGCCACGGGATCTGGAGTAAATGGGCTCCGCCGCTGGAAAGAAGTCGTCTGGCAACCATCTCGTTTTGTGGTACAAAACAGACACACAAAAGCAAGATTGGCTCGTCATTATCATGCATCATCACGTTACTTTATACACTTGAGTGCAGGTTTAGGGTTACATACCACTGTGCCTAAAAGGTGTGCAAACAAGAAGTGAACACCTTTGTAACTAAATACAAACACAGATCGCTTTCTGCTCAGTCATGACAATTTGTCCTCTTCAGGATCATACGCCGGCGCAGTGATCGCCATGCCTCTGGCTGGGATCCTGGTCCAGTATACTGGATGGTCCTCTGTCTTCTATGTGTATGGTAAGTACTGCTTTATCTGACTGACTTCACCTTAAAAGGACACTCTGTTCCATGTAAAGGTAGAAATAATGTAACAGTTGGGTTTTTTCTTAGCCATAAATGCCATACAGTTCAATTCTGTGCATTTTTCTTGTGCTGCTACAGTCTCATGTGGGCTTATTAGATAAAGTTAGCAAAGTCTACAAAGTCAATGTTATATAACTGACACCGGTGAGTCAGTTCACTGCCTCTCCCATGTCTGTCTATGCATGCAACTATCTAACTAATATATACTCTCTAAACTTCTGAAATAAGCCCAAGCATTATTATGACTAACCCATTAAATCAGATAGTATATATGTTTGTTTTCCATTATTTTGTACAGAATTAACCAAACTTCAGACTTTTGTATTCTGATTTTGACAGCAGCTAAATCTCCGCTTGAATTTTACGTTCTGTGGATCTGTATCATCTGAAGTTTTTTTTAATGACTGATGTGTTTGATTTGTTCAGGATCCTTTGGGATATTTTGGTACATGTTCTGGATTTTGGTGTCCTATGAAAGCCCGGCAGAACATCCAACAATCACCGAGGAGGAGCGCCGTTACATCGAGGAGAGCATTGGCGAAAGTGCCCAGCTCATGGGTGCGATGGAGGTGGGTGCTCAGTCTGTATCTTCTGATTTCTGATGCCACACCAAACACTGCTCAGGCTGATTTAGCATTTGTCACGTTGCTTCAACAGAAATTCAAGACTCCCTGGAGGAAATTCTTCTCTTCTATGCCTGTCTATGCAATCATTGTGGCCAACTTCTGCAGAAGCTGGACCTTTTATCTGCTTCTCATCAGTCAGCCTGCATACTTTGAAGAAGTTTTTGGCTTTGAGATCAGCAAGGTGAGTAAATTTATGCTTCATAAAGTCTATTATTAGGCCTAAAATGTCTCATCTGATCTCACCATCAAATTTCCGAAAAAAAAGATGCTATAATTGCTTCTAAAAAAGGCATAACAGGTCCATTTTGTTGTTATGCCAGCCATCTAATGTCATGTATTTATTCTTAAAGACTAAATGTTTTCATTTTCTAGCTGAACAAAGGTAGCCCAACTCCGGAAACCAAAAAGAGGGTTCACCATGCAGCCACTGCAGTGACCCTATGCCTCACCAGTGGGGCTCAACCCATGATTTCAGAACCACAGGGATAAACATACCAAACTGGCCATAACTGAAATTTGTTAGAGTAACATAACTGGATGAAAATATTAAAACAGTGTGACAATAATAAAGATTTTGTTTATACTTAGAAACCTACAGAGAATTTTTGGCTTCCTTTAGCTTTTCACCCACAAAGCTGTGGGTGAAAAGCTTAAAATTTCACCCACAGCTTTTACTATTTTAGTTCACTCTCATTATAGTTTTCACTCACAGATGGGCAAAGGTGTTTAAAGCAGCCATAAAGTACTTAAAACATATTATACCCTACTTGGCACATCAACCTCTTTGATTAGATTTCAGCCGCTAACGACTCCCTTTGGCAGCTAAGTAAATAATAACTCAGTTTAAAAGAAAGTTTGGGTCTAAATGGTATAAATGTAATTAAAGCCATGCGGTTTTATTCATATAGCATCAAATCACAACAAAAGTTGCCTCAAGGTGCAACATTTGTTCCTGGTTTCTTTTAAGTACTATTGCATTTTAGATTGTATTAATAATTGTCACCCCAGGGTTAAATTAGGCTGGAATGGTAGACCCACGTGTATAATTGTACGTTTAGCTGCTAATACAATGCAGCAGGCTAAACGATATCATCTTAAAAAGTAATATATGAAGAAAGTTTGTTTCTGTTGAACCATTATTATATTTGCTCAACCTCAATGGAAATAATTTCCTAATTTTAAATGTATAACCATGGATTTAAAAAAAAAAAGAACAATATAAAACAAAAGATATTTTGTTTTATATTTAAAAAAGAACATATATAAAAATTAAACAATAATTCTGAAGTTTAATGGATATTTACATTTGCAATTTTGGGACAACTTGCTTTAGAAAATGCTGTGATTTGTTGTTTTTACCTGTCCTCATGTGTCATACATGTAAAAAGAAAGCAGCCAGTCTCAAATTACCCCAGTCCTCTGAGCTCCAGCGAAAGTGTAAAGCATCACTCAGGCTGCTCTGACAGATGCAATTCAGGCTGAGGATGAGTTTCTGATATTAATGTGGTGAATTATTGCTGACATGTGATAGAGGAGCCAAGAGGTTACAGCAGAGGCTGAGATTTGCTCTGAGACTGAGAGAATCCCCTTCTTGTTGTGACAGCTGCTCTGCTGCTGTTGGAGCTGCTTCAGAAAAGTATTTGATGCTTTCCCAGGTTGGAATCGTGTCAGCTCTCCCTCACTTGGTCATGACCATCATCGTGCCTTTAGGAGGTCAGCTAGCAGACTACCTGCGAACCCACAACATCATGTCCACCACTACGGTCCGCAAAATCATGAACTGTGGAGGTGAGGTCTTAATCGTGAGATTTTTGTCAGTTCTTTGAAGTACTCCTCATCAGTTCATGACTTAACTCTTTTCCTGCTGTTTTCAGGCTTTGGCATGGAGGCTACTCTTTTACTAGTGGTTGGGTATTCCCACAGTAAGGGGGTGGCCATCTCTTTCTTAGTTCTGGCGGTGGGATTTAGCGGTTTTGCAATATCAGGTGAGTCCTAAAACAACGATGTATTGTTCATATTTGATCCCACCTCAATGTGAATCAGCAGCAGACTCAGGAAGTCTCCTTGTTTCGTTTGGTTGCAGGTTTCAACGTGAACCATCTAGACATCGCCCCTCGCTATGCCAGCATCCTCATGGGCATTTCCAATGGCGTGGGAACACTGTCAGGGATGGTCTGCCCTCTTATAGTGGGAGCAATGACAAAAAACAAGGTGAGTCGTAATCAGGCAACAACAAACATATTTTTGTTTGAGTTTTTAAAGCCCACAGCCATCTCCTGATCCTAGTCTACTGTTTAATAGTGTAATCATTTAAACCTGGATCACAGAGCTTTCCTTACTGTAGCAAACCCTCTCATTATGCCCAAAATATGACCAATCCCCTCTGTGCCTGATCCTTACCCTCATATTTTTATTTACTTAAATGCAAACCACTGGTGCAGTTGTGGCGTATTTGTTCTGCCTAATCTGAGCAAGTTAGAAGAGCACATCTGTTCTATGATATAACCTAAAACTTTACAAAGGGACTCAGCCTGGCTCCAACCTTTGTCCATTTCCCAGACTCGTGAAGAGTGGCAGTATGTCTTCCTCATTGCTTCTCTCGTGCATTACGGAGGCGTGATATTTTACGGGCTCTTCGCATCGGGGGAGAAACAGCCATGGGCTGACCCTGAAGAAACCAGCGAAGAGAAGTGCGGTTTTATAGATGAGGACGAGCTGGCAGAGGAGACGGGCGACATCACCCAGGGATACGGTGCGATGGGAGGTCCGGCTAAAAGCTACGGGGCCACGGGGCAGCTGAACGGAGGCTGGGTGCAGGACTGGGATAAAACGGAGGAATACGTACAGGAGCCAGCGGGAAAGATGTACACCCAACGCGGCTACTCTTAAACCAGACAGTTGTGGTGAGTCTGCCCACGAAAACAGACTCATCATCACCAGTTGCACAAGCATTATATTAGATGTTTAAATCCATTCTGTATGTTAAAGTAAAAGAAGATTCAAAAGCCACTGTAAAGAAGTAGTTGCAATGCAGAACAATCCTCATTAGAGCCTCATGTTTCTCATCACATGTACCTACAGTAGGGCTTCACTATACAGACAGCAGTCGTACTATTTAGGACCCAAAGCTCATCAATCTACTTGAACAAGACAAGCCAGACGAAACTGCAGTCGACCATCATGTAGGGTCTTTCTCTGAAATACTACTCTGATTGCACTGAAACTATGAAAGTATTCTAAAAACAAGATTCTGTTTCTCAAATATGTTTTATGTACTGTATATACCTGCATACTGTTTCTGTGAGACTATTGTGAATTTTGGGTCGTTGATCTGTGTGAACATTAATATAAAAGGCCATATTTTTCATGGACAGTACCTCTTCAGGGAGACGTCTGCTTGCAAAAAAGGTCTTCTTCTTCTCGAGTGAGGCCTGTAACACAATATAAGACAAAAATAGCGTGAGTGAAGTTGAACCGTAGAGTTTTAGTGTGTGTTTGTTGCATGACTTTTGCTCAGATCAATGTTTCAGACGCGGCCGCCTCACAGCCACCGATAGTCCTCATTCAGCCTACTTCTTTGTTCTTAGATTCAAGCGTCTCCCGCCATTATAAATAATAAGAGGAATTTTCGTAATCAGGTTCCGGTCGTGACGTGAGACAAATCAAAAAAGTTGTGAAGGCAACTGCTGCTCAGAAAACATTGACTATTGATGTTTGGTGTGCACTGCAATAAATTCTGTGTACCAGCTGCCACCCATTACATTCTGTTTTGTAACGTGACACTGGCTTGCTGTATCTTAACTGTAATTGTTTTTGGAGTCATGTGATGATCAACATTAAGGTGTGTGTTTTAACAAATTACAATTAGTGTCTGGAGATCCCCAGCTTTAGTGCTCATGACGCAGGAGGAATGCACTGCTGTGTATGAACAACCACGTTTTGTGAGCCCCTGGTGTCCCTTGGTTATTGTCATTGTCACCAAAAAGTACTTTATTGACACATTGATATCGTCGCATATGAGTGGACCACATGGATTAATAGATGGCTCTTCCACCTGACTTTATTTGCTGTTTAAACACTTTGATTCATTTTGCTGTATGAAAAATCTGCAAGGATGTTTAAAATATATGAATATTTAAGAATGTTTATGATGACCAAAAGATGCTATTACGGCTTTGTGCCTAAAGATTATGTAAACAGATAAATGTGATTTTATGGCTTCTAATATTGTGTTTAATGAAGAGGTATGTTGATGTCAAAAGGTGTTATAAAAAAATACTCATATCATTTTATAAAAAAAAAAAAAAAGTAATCAAAAAGGTAATTTTTTGTCATTTTTATCTCGTGTGTAAATGGGATGATACATTAGTCCTCATTGACTGGAGACAGACTGCCAAATCGGTTAACCACCAATTCTCCAATCACTGCCAAGCATCTCCTGTTCTCTCCAAGTTTCTCATTAGTAAATCAATGGCACAGGTCTCTGGGGTCTAGGGGAGAGCACTGGACCCTGTAGCCTGGAAATTGGTAAGAGGCAAGAGATACAGCATTACTAAACTGTTTCATCCATGCACACCACCACCATTTAACATCTTTGCAGAGACTTCTGATTTTAATAAGCTGATGTGGAGTCAGGTTGGGTCTGTTTCAGAGGAAAAAAGATCAGGAAAAAACAAAAAAAGGAAAGGAAAGGTGATGACATTTTAATGTTTGTAATGTGCGGTCTCAGACACACCCATTTCCTTCTCTGCACATTTGAGCTCAACACTGTTCTCTGTAGCACATTAAGGTATTGACCCAGCTCCTTCATTATGTCCAATCACAAGACGAATCAATATTGTTTAGCTCTAGAATTCATTAGCATTTTAAGATAAAAAATGCTCCTGTTTAAAAGATTTAAACAGCACTGATGATTCGCCTTAGTAGTTATTAATGCATTTTTGTTAGAATAAAAAAACATATATATACAGAGCAATAGTAGTCGTAGTCACTGTTTGCAGCTTTAAGGTTGAAAAATATTTATATTGTTGTCATAAAATTTACCTGATAAAACTCAATAAAATAAGTAGCTCTGGTAGGGAAAATTAAAGCATAAAAACATAAAGGAATAAAAATGTACAATGACATTAGAACAAGTGACATATTGATATCTATGGAGATAATCTGTGTAGAGTTGCTGAAAAAAATGCAGATTAGAACAATCAACTCGTACTAAGAAAAATGCTCTAAAGATCAACTTTTTAAAAATATAAACACTGACTCATCTTCTCTTTCTCTTAAGATAAACTGAACAGTAACAGATTTTTTTCTTTTAACTGTTTGCTAAGTAAAGCAAGCAATCTTGATAACTGTGGTAAATAATTCATGTACGTCTCCAGCTTATTGGTGTATAAGACTATGAAAAGCACAAAATAAAAGGAATGACTGACTCCATCATCAGAAGTCTGATCAGCTTCTTGAAGAATGGCAGTGTATGAATTTCCATTGTCCTGTTACTGCAGCACAAGGTGAAAATGTCCTGGGAAAACCTCTGTAGCCTCGTGCACGTGAAACCTTTGGAGCGCTCCTCTTACCCGAAGGGAACGTTCGAAAGGCGTGACGTCTGAAGGGTTGTGTCAAGCACTGGCTTCCTGCCCGTGATGGACATTCAGAGTACAGTAGCCTTTCACCGCCTTAATTGATGGTTGGATCACAGGAAGCAGCTTCATGTCTAAATCATCCCAACTGTCAGGAGGGGGAGCAATTACAATAAATCTCAGTTTCTCCCCTGATTATTCACCCAGCCGAGGAGGGAAACCATTAACCCTCACGCCTGCTTGGCGCACGTTAATTTGACAGAAAACACAATTGTGTCACCACTCACGTGGAACATGTTTTCTCATGCCTAACCAGCCGGAGTCGTCATGGCTGTTACACCAGTGACGTGCCCGTTAGGATGCACAGTAATTGGGCAAAAAGCTTCTGTCAGCATTTCTTTCACAGGTGGAAAGTCTGTCAGCCTTCACCTGCCTGCATCACTGACTCTTTATATTTCTGCAGCATCTCCGGCTCGGTCACTGTGATGTTCGTCTGGTTGTGTAATCCGGAGGGTGAGTGGAGGGGGATTGAGTAGTTGTCAGTCTGTGGGGCAGGTGCACTTTGGCTCCTGGGGGACTGTAATGGGATGAGGCCCAGCCACAATGAGTGTTTGATGACGGGGTTGCACGCCTCCTGTGGGACTCTCCCTGCATGCAATTATCCTCCTGCTCCATCCTCCCGTCTAGTCTGCAGCTCAGACAATTTCTTTTTCCACACTGCATTCTCAATATTTTTTTAGTCCTAATGTATAATTCACATTCCTCATACCCCAAAACATCAGGTATTAATTAAGGCCTAAATTTCAAGGCAGGATTGGAGTAATTACTGTTTTACAACACCCCCCGACATGACAATACACATCCCCGGGGCAAGTGGTTTTTCCACACACCTCCTTCCTCTCTCTTGTTAATTGCTTTATTAATGGAGATCTTGCTGGCTCAAATTGGATTTGCACAAAATAACATGTTATATATCACTACTTTGCACCCACTACAAACCATATGTAATTTGAACATACACACACACAAAAAAAAAGACTGGTGTGTTTCCACCATGACTCCTAAACGTTTAGATATTATATTAAAAAAACGATTTTAAATGAAACCCTCTGCAAAACGGCTTTACAACGGTGTGCTATCATCTCTGCTGTACTTTCCAGTTGTATCCATTAGCATTACATTTGATAGCATTTGCTCTAATGAGTCAGAGAAACGGGGATGCAAAGGTGAGAATTTTCCAGGATGAGAGGAGTAGACAGAGACTGCTACATTTAATTTATCTTTTGTTTTTCACCTTCCACGGAAGTGCAGTCACATTTGAAGCAATCCATCACAGGTCCATCCACTTCCCTACCCCCCACCCCTCCATATCGGATTACACTGACAGCTTCATACACGCTGATATAGTATCAGAAGCAGACAAAGGAAGATAAGATCCAATACGATACTTGTCGTGTTTTGACAAAGCACCGTCAGCTCTGGAAGAAATCGTAATAAGAGAGTGGAAGAATTTGCAGGTGATGAGACAAAATATTTTGCAGGGTTTATTTTCACTTTGCTTTTCTGCACACAATTTTTTTTTATTTATATAATCCATCATGCCGCTCAAAGAAATAAATTTGTTGCCACTATCTTTGTTCAACCTTCAGAGATGTTTAGTTTAAGATGTTATGATGATAATCAAACCCATTTAAGCAGCGTGCCTGCTGACGGTGGTCGCTGATCGTCGTCATCCTCTGAGTGGGACACAGGTGTGCGGAGGGGTTTCTCCTGCCTCTGTGATCCATCGCTGAAAACACAAAAGGGGCCAGACTGGAGCGGCTTAGGCACGTGCCGAGGGAGGGCTCTACCCTCCTGCGCCCACCCCCTCAGAGGACTCCCTATTTACACCACCAGATGGTGGCTGGATCTGAGTTTTAATGAATGTTATCCTTCATGACCCTCCAGGAGCTGCAGGACAGCAGTCGCTCTCAGCACGTCTCACTGCAGTTTGTTACCCCCACGCTGCTGGAGAACAAACGTGACGCTGGACGGATGGAATGTAAAATAAGGAAGGATAAGACAATCATCCAACTCTTTGCTTAGAGCATGTTCTTTATAACAGACAGAACTGATACACATGTATGAAATTATAAGTTTTCTCATTTGTCCTTTTGAATTAATAAAGCGCATGACACATTTAAATTAAATAAGCTGGATGTAAGCGGCTGACTTCGACTCTCAGTCTGTTCTAATAAAGGCTTACTAGCTTGCTGCAAACAGCTGGAGGTCAAATATAAAATAAGCAATTCAGAAGATAGATGGATAGGTGGATGTTTAATAGCTAAATAGTGTTACAGACTGCCAAAAGAAGCAGTTTCTTCTTAGTGGTTTCCAGACATGTGGGTATGATTTAGACTGTTATAAATAACGGGTAAAACATGGTTTTATTAAATATTAGATTGGCATAGGCATAGTACTAAAAATGCTGCTTTTCTTGTAGGCTTATTGGAGTCAGATGGTAACACATCTGAATCATCACCATGGCAGCTCTCTCACCCTGCCAGTAACGTGTAAGGCTGTGAATCAGAGTGAGAACCACAAAGTCTACACAAGAAAATAACTGTGGGTGGAAGCACCCGATGGCTACATGCTAAAAGAGTAGAGGTGGATAATTCTCGTTAGTTTGTGGAATGGTGCTCTGAAACTGCATTTTTGTAGATTTTGTAAATTAAACACACTCCCAACAAATTCATAATTATTTTTGCATGCATTTATAACACAAGAGCAGGTTAGATCTCTGCAGTCGTTGCTGGTTGGCATATGTTCTTCACTGGCTGGAAATAAACTGGTTGTGTATGCGCTGCCCTTTACTCAGTGACCCTCGTCCGTCTCTACGAGAATTGCTTTCACGGTGTGTTAAATGAGCCGTGGCTGTGTTGGTGTTTCCCTCCGCACGGTGGCCCGGGCTCTAATTCGCTGACAGGGTTACGTCACACACCAGCCATTGTGCAGAGTTTGATTGAAGACGCCTGATCTGACTAATTGATCCCTCGCTGCACAAGCGCTCAGACACATGGGCAAGGTCTGAGATGTGTAAATTGGCAGTCAGGTCACATGACTGGAATTAAGCCAATCCAAATGTATAGGTTTAGATCAAGCACTGCTGGAGGCTTTTACTGACAGATGGTGTGAAAAAAAGTGAAAATCATTTGAGGTGTGTAGAGTTAGGAAAGGGTACGTGGTTGCACAGCGCTTTTGCTGGCTTTGCTTATTGCTATTTCCTTATAGCCCCGAGCTTATTATCAAACCCATCTCTCTCCACAGATCTGCATAATGTGGAATTAAACTTTAATTTCTTTTTAGGTCCTCATAAATCAGCCGCTGCAGAATAATTTTAAACAACGCAGCTCCTAATGGCTTGGTATTAGGATCAAATTTATGAGGCTGAATGAAACCTTGAGCTTCCAAAGACCCATGGCATCTGTTTACTGTCTCACAAGTACGTTCAGTTTAAGTGAGTCGGATCGTGTGCTGACACGGTTTACAAAGCAGCACAAAAGCTATAATGTGTCCAAACAAGTAAGTTCAACAGTTCAACAAACAGCCAACTGGACTGACTAATATATATATATATATATATATACACACACACACACACACACACTAAAAACAATAAATCCAGAGATAGAGATTAACTCCTGAAGCATCAAGAGCAGGATCTCATTTGCCATTGTTCTTGTATCATATGCC